AGCGTACAGCATGTAAACAAACAGGAAGTGTTAGTGTACGGCATGTAAACAAACAGGAAGTGTCAGCGTACAGCATGTAAACAAACAGGAAGTGTTAGTGTACGGCATGTAAACAAACAGGAAGTGTCAGCGTACAGCATGTAAACAAACAGGAAGTGTTAGCGTATAGCATGTAAACAAACAGGAAGTGTTAGCGTACAGCATGTAAACAAACAGGAAGTGTCAGCGTGCAGCATGTAAACAAACAGGAAGTGTCAGCGTGCAGCATGTAAACAAACAGGAAGTGTCAGCGTGCAGCATGTAAACAAACAGGAAGTGTCAGCGTGCAGCAGCAGAGCTGCAGACCTGTTCTGTGCAGAACCTTGTACCAGAACTCCCGGGGGCAGTAATTATCTCTGAGCTCTGATAACAAGGCCTGTATTTCCTGCTTGAATAATAATGATTATAAAGAGTGTTTTCCACTTAATTAAACACACTGTCTTTAAGTAACGTGAGGACATTTGCCCCGCGGGCTGAGCTCATTTAGGAGCTGCTGAGAGAAAACAAACGGATGCTCCTTTCATGTGAAAATCCTGACAAAATAGTGGGAGCCTCAGAGAATACTGAAGAAGCTGTGCTGCACGTTTCACTGAATATTCAGCTGTGTTTGAACAAATTGTGAACAGAACTTTTAGATGTGATCAAACTGCAGCTCCGGGTCGTTTCAGGCCTGCTGGTCTCAGCTCGGAGCCATAAAAGAGTCATCAGAGGGTTTCTGAGCCACTGCCTCTCCTCTCTGTGTTTAACATCAGTGAAGAAGACGTTCACCTCTAATGAAAGGTGCTTAAAAAGCGTGAAAATGCCCTCACTAATCTGCTGCAGCCATCTGCAGAGGAGCAGCTCGCATCGTTTCACCCGTCAGCTCCGCCGGGCTCAGGAGGACCCGATTGGACCGGATCAATGTTCGTTTTAGCATCAGGACTAATGAGAGGAGCTGGAGTCCTGCAGAAACCTTCATGATGTCAGAGAAACCCGTCGGCTGCTGTCTGAGGATTGAACAGGACAAGTTTAAACTAAACATTCAAATAAATCCTAATCTGTCCACTTTCTGTCCTCAGGCTCCGCCCCTCGCTCTTCTTACCTGTACAGGTGGAGACCCTGCAGCCTGACCTTGTCCTCCACTCAGCAGTCAGAGAGAAGCCCACCTGTCGGACGGACCCTGAACACAACACGGACGAACCAAACTGTGCTTTGACTTTTCCTGCTGAGAGAAGAAGCTTCAGCTAATTATAGATTTAAATCAGATTACACAGTCTGACTGAGCTGCTGCCGGAGAAACAACTCATTAAATCAAACAGAACTTTGCTTTTTACTCAAATAAACTTCTTTTAATTTTTTATTTTTTACTGCTGCTGAACCTTCAGCTGATATGTGCGGTTATAAATTATTACAAAACTAAAATAACC